CGCAGAGCGGGCCGCCTTCGAAGAAGGGCCTTTCCCCAACGCCACTGCACAGTGGCCTTGTGCGGGCGGCTCGCGAGGGGCAGCTGCGCGACGAGAAGGAACGGGTCGCACGCAAGACGACACGGCGAGCGTACGCGGCAGCGTGCGCGCGCCGCCAGCGCGGCACGCTGCATTGGAAACGCGGGCGCTTGCGCGCGACCTTACGCGGGAAGCTCACTTGCGAATGTCGACGCAGTCGACAGTGGACCCCGTTCTCTTCCATCGCTCAATGGTCGGCGGGTCGCAGGCGGGTCGCAGGCGGGTCGCGTGAGAGGTCAAGGGCTCGCGTACTGCTCCCCAAACGAATGCTGCACAATCCGCCGCTGGCGCCACATTTTGGAGAAACATCGTGGGCGGGACGCGGGTGGTCGCGATGCGAGTCACGGCTAGGTCACGGGTCCCGGGTGGGCCGCGGGCGGTTCACGAGTTTGCGGGTGGATCGCGGGCGGGTCTCGGGCGGGTCCCGGGCGACAGCGACAACAAGACAACACAACACTACAAAATAACGATGCGAATCGGCACCACAGGACCAAACTTCAGCCACGCACCCAAGGACGGTGCAAGACGGCCCCCGAATTGCGATCCCGTGCCATATAAAACGCTGATGCGGTTGTTTCTCCCCTCCCGGTCCTTCCAAAAACCCGACGTCGTGATTTTTCAAGACGTGGGCCCTGGAGGATCCGGGGTCCTTTTTTCATCAAGAGGCGTTTCTGACAGGCCTAGATCCGAAATAGGCCCCCAGACGTCGAACTCGTGAAATCAGCAGCCGTAGCAATGTTTCGCGACGCCTGGAGGTTTGGTCTACGTCCTCTTTAAACAATTGACCCCTCGACCTCTCCTCGCAAGCGGCCTGGCCAGACAATCGAAGCGGATCCAGACCACTTCCGCTCTACCAGTCGCCGACCTAAGAACTCTCGTTTTCTGGGGCTGATTTGATTCCCGAGTCGTTCAGACTTTCCTGCCGGGGAGGTGAAGCGACCCCCGGAGTTCGATGATTGATGCACGCATCTGTGTATTCATGCGCACGTGCATGCAAACATCCATGCACGTACGGTTACCGCGGGACACAAGCGCAGATACACGAACACATGCACACACACGATGCATGCACATGCGATTCTACGGGTGCAACAAGAGTATCCTTCAAGAGCAGCCTCCTTCAAGAATATCCTCCTGCTCCTCCTGATCCTCCTCCTCCTTCCTCCTCCTCCTCATATTATTGTTCTTCTTATTATTAGTATTCTTCTTCTTATTATTATTACTATTATTATCATCATCATCATCATCATCATCATCATCATCATCATCATCATCATCATCATCATCATCATCATTCTTATTATTATTATCATTATCATTATTATTGTTGTTATTAATAGTATTATTATTATTATTAGTAGTAGTATTCTCAATATTATTATTAAAAACAATGCTATTATGAGTAGTCTTATCCTTCTTACTATTAGTCGTATGGTGCTACTTTTTTCTTCTTCTTCTTCTTCTTCTTCCGCTCCTCCTCCTCCTCCTCCGCCTCCTCCTCCTCCTCCTCCTCCTCCTCCTCCTCATCCTCACCCTCATCCCCATCCTCATCCTCCCTCCTCCTCCTCCTCTTCCTCCTCCTCCTCCTCCTCCTCCGCCTCCTCCTCCTCCTCCTCCTCCTCCCTCCGCTCCTCCGCCTCCTCCTCCTGCCCTCCTCCTCCTCCTCCTCCTCCTCCTCCCTCCTCCTCCTCCTCCTCCCTCCTCCTCCTCCCTCCTCCTCTCCTCCTCCTCCTCCTCCTCCTCCTCCTCCTCCTCCTCCTCCTCCTCCTCCTCCTCCCGTCGTCAGGGGTCTGGGCCCCTGGTCCTGCTCCCCCCCGCGGCCCCCCCGCGGCCCCCGGGTCCCCCGTGTAGGGGTCCACCGACGGCTTATCCTGGTACAGCGGCCCGACGTAGCAGCCCGTCGGGAGCGGGAAGCCTGCTCGGGGGGCAGCGGGGGCCCGGGCCCTCTTGCTGCGTCGCACTCGCCTCGAGACAGGAGAGGGAGAGAGGGAGGGAGGGAGGGAGGGAGGGAGGGAGGGAGGGAGGGGAGGGAGGGAGGAGGAGGAGGAGGAGGAGGAGGAGGAGGAGGAAGAGGAGGAGGAGGAGGAGGAGGAGGAGGGAGGGAGGGAGGCAGGGAGGGAGAGAGGGAGGAGAGGGGAGGCAGGGGGGACGTCCTGGCCGAGGCTTCTTGGACGTCGATCTGCCCGCCTGCAGCCTCCACTGCCCTCCGGAGGTGAGGAGGGAGCACGCTGCGCGGCCGCCACCGTGCGCACCTCAACCGAGGCTGGGCCCTCGCAGATTCTGATGCACTGGGCGGCGGACAGACGTGAATCTGCTGCGAGAGGACAGAGCGACCTTGCGCGGGGGCTTGCGCAGGCCGCCACCGCGGCGCACCGCGCGGGAGGCGAGGGCGACTGCGCGTCGCCTTGCGAGGGAGCAGCTCGCACGTCAACAGCCGCAGTCGGCCCCCCTGGATCGCGTCGGCTCACTGGTGGATGCTCAGGGTGTCCCGTCAGGAGACGAAGTTCGGGGCGGCGCCGACCGCGTCGCGGGAACACCGAATTTCATCCTGGGAGATCTCGAGCGGGCTCGGCGGGCAGAGCTGGCCGGCGTGCAGGCCGAGGTGCAGAGCGCCACGCTGACGACGAGTAGATTGCGGGCGCCACACGGCCAACTTCGACCCACGTCCACCACTTGGAGCGTGCATGTTCCTGCTGACTGCCGCGGGTCTCTGCCGCACTCATGGGCATCTGTCGTAGCCTTCGATCGCGAAGAAGGCCCAGCCCTCTCCCATCTGGCCTGAATCAAATCTGGCGGGCCTCAGCGGTGCGAGCGCCATCGGGAAGCTGCCACACCGGAATTATGACGCACTCCAGGGCTCTGAAATTGAGGCTAGCGAAGACCTCACGCAGAGGCGAAGGGCTGAGGACGCTGAGGCTCTCAGACTGTCCACTCGCGATGCTCACGTTGTCAGCACAGGCGCGAATCAGCTGAGCATCGAAGGATCTGCAGCTCGAAGGAGAGCACGGGCACGCGGACACCATACGGGGGCGAACATGGTGGCCCAGATCGTGCCTCTGACAGCCCTGAGCAATTCCAACGCACGCCATCAGCAGAGGGCGACGACGTCCACCGGCGTGGAAGAAGTGCGGCAGGTAAGCAGCAGGTAGCAGACACGCCCCAGTGCGGCGCAGGATCTCCCAGAGGCCGCTGACGAGACGGACTCGGGGGGCCGCCGCGATACCGAGGAACACTATGCCGGGCTTGTAAACACCCGCCTCGCTGCAGCGCAGGAGTCGCGCACAAGACGCGTCCGTCTCCTGGGTGCTGTTGGAGAGCTGCCTGGGCAGCGAGGGAACCCCTGCGGGGACCTGCCGGCGTCGAGAGCCAGCCTGGGCAGCGAGGCCCGCGGCAAGCTGCAAGCCGCTGCTCTCGAGGCTCAGCGAGTGCAGGCTGCCCGGCGGTCGCAGGGCCTCCTCCTGCCCAGGAGGGCTGCCCCCCTTCGGAGCCGCCGTCGGCGCCCAGCTGAAGTCCATCGGGACCTCTTCGATGTTGGGGAGTGCGAGGCGGGCGGTTGGCCCAAAGCCTGCAGCGCCCCCAGGGAGCACAGTAGCAGAGTCCGTCGCGCGGCGAGCCGTCTGCAGCAGGTCCGCCTCGTCGGGTGCAGGTGGCTTCTGCTGCGGCCACTCAAAGAGGACTGCGTCCGAATGGAGGCACGTGCCTGGGCACCGCTGCCCTCAGGCTCCGCGCTCCGCTGCCAGTAGCTCGAAATGTTGGCGTGTGTGCCCCTAGGGTCGCGAGCGACCGCAGTGCGGCCCTCGACGGTGACTGGAATGCCAACCAAAACCAGGGGCTTGTGGAACGGTTTCCAGATCTCGCCGAGGCGCCAGGCAGTCGGGAGGTTGAGGGGCAGCATTAGCAGAGCGAGGAGGAGGAGGAGGAGGAGGAGGGAGAAGGAAAGGAGGAGGAGGAGGAGGAGGACCGCAGGGAGAAGGAGGACGTACGACGACGAGAACACTGGAAAGAACTGCTCCAGAAACTCTCATCCAATGGGTCCGGCTCGTCTCTGAGCTGGAGGCCCGAGAGCCTCCGAGGAGCCTCCGAGGCGGACGCTGGAACAGGGCGCGACAGCTTTTTGGCAGCTCCTGGGAGCCGCGGGTCTGCGCACGGAGGCTCCTCCTCCGCCCCCTCGCCGTCCAAGTCCGCTATGACACACGTCTGCGGATAGAGGCAAAAGCAGCGCCATGGGCAGGGGCAGGCTGTCAGGTATGGCCCGAAGACATCTAGCTTGTTCCCCTCCCCTCCGCCTCCTCCTCTCACCCTGCTCCTCCTCTTCCTCATCTTCCTCCTCCGCCTCCTCCGCCTCCTCCATCTCCTCACCCTCCTGCTCCTCCCATCCGCCTCCTCTTCCTCCTCCTCCGCCTCCGCCTCCGCCTCCTCCTCCCCTCACTTTGCTCCTCCTACTCCTCTTCCTCTTCCTCTTCCTCTTCCTCTTCCTCTTCCTTATCCTCCTCCTCCTCCTCCTCCTCCTCCTCCTCATCCTCCTCCTCCTCCTCCCCCATTCCTTTGCCTGATGAATAACTCCTCCCCGTCGCACCCCGAGGCCAGGTCGGCAGGGCGGCCTGGGCGTTTCGCCTATGACTTCATCACCACTCGTGAGCCTGAAGATTAACAACTCGCAGCAGCTTCACACATGGAGGGCGGGTTGCTTTCAGAATGTGGCTCCCGCCGCAGCGCCGCGCACATTCATTTTACAAGTTCGCAGGGGCTTCACGGATTGAAGACAGGTAAATTTCAAAATGTGACTCCCGCCTTAGCGCCGCGCACATTCGTTGTCAAAGTTAGCAAGAGCTTCACGGATTGAGGGCGGTTCGTTTTTCTTTTTTTTCGAATGTGGCTAACGCCTTAACGCCTTTTCAAATAGCAGGCGTTCCAGTAATTCGCATGGCTAACATTCCAGAAATGGTGTTCGGGAGTGATTCAGGATTGTCAGGGCGCAACAGTTGCGTTGATTCGCGATGCCGAAGTCGCGGGAATGGTGTTCTGGCACGATTCAGGATCGTCAAGACGTAACAGTCAGGTTGACTCGTGGCGTTGAAGTCCTGAGAATGTTGTTCTGGCACGCGTCAAGATTTTCACACAGTTGTCCCCCTACGGCGCACTTCCCTGTGGAAATGAACCCCTGTAGGGGCCTGTGAGGAGGGAGCTTGGAGGGAGGGCGTATTCCAACATCGTTGATGAGTCTTGGGCTTACACTGGTCCTCCTCCTCCTCCTCCCCCTCCTCCTCCTCCTCCGCCGCCGCGACATCGGCGCTGCGACCGGCGAAGCGGCCCCGCGCCCTCGGCGTCGTTGGTCCACATCTCCACGAAGAGCTTGCCGCAGAGCGCCTGCGAGGCGCCCTCCATGGGCACCTCCAGCTCCGGGTCGAGGGCCTCTCCGCGCCGCCGCGCCGCGCCCGCGCCGCGCCCGCGCCGGCGCCGGCCGCCGCTCCGCCCGCTCCCGCCCGCCCCGCCTCCGGCTCTGACCAGGGGGTGGGGCGCAGATGGACATGCAGCGGAGGCCAGTCCACAGGAGACCTCCCACGGGAAGCCCAGCCCTGGACCCCCAGGACGTCCACGGATTTGTGGCGCGGGAGCGTCCCGCTTCCTCCCCATCGCGAAGCCACCGAGACCCAAGAAACCCAGGGCACCCTTGGAGGCAAGCGGGGTGTTTCTTGGCATGGGTCTCCACTGTGCGGTGGTATCTCCAGCGACGTGTGCGGTGGAGAGGAGGCGATGCTACAGACGGCGTCGAGGGCGCTGGCAATCGACAGCGGCGATCCTAGTGGAAGACGAGGCCGCGGGTCCCACCACTCCCGAGGATCTGTTGCCCCAGGTTGGAGCGGGTGGGTACCACAAGCAGCCAGACCCTGAGCCCCGTGACTGCAGGTCGGGGAGGAACGGGAGGCTACGCGGAAGTGTCGAGACACGAGTGCGACACGTACGAGACGACCTCTGGCAAATTATGACAGGTCATGGGACACACGCGATTCGTCGACCTTCGGGAGTCGCATAGGGGCCCCAGGGCTTCTGTGGCCCCCAGGGGCCTTCAGGGAATAAGCAACTTCCGCGGGGCAGACGCCTGCAGGCCGATGTCGTATGTGATGTGTCTCTGTACTTGTACTACGTCGGAGGCCTCCTCAACAGGGTCCGAGTAAACGCGACCAGAGGATCGCGCCGCATCGCCGACGAGCCGCCGATGCATCGGTGTGATGCGTCGGCGACGTCGGCGATGCATCGGTGACGTCGGCGCGGAGAACATCGAGAGTCACATCGACCCACATCGAGCCGCATCGGGGATGCATGGGCGATGCGCCGCGATCCTCTGATTCCATCTACTCGGACCCCATGTGGGAAGCTAGTTATGTGCTTCTGTGGGGTACGCGCGTCCGAACCGAACATTTAGCACACACGTATTACGGCATACCGTTGCTCAAGCTAGTTGGTCAGAAATCGCCCGCCACCAGGCTTATACTGTACAGCGCGCGCGCGTCGTCCCTGCGGAGCCGACGCACACACTGTAGAAGTACCCATAGCACCCGGCAGAAGCGGATAAGAGTGAGGGGGGCGGTGTGGACGTCGGCAGTCTGCGAGACTCTGGAGAAGCCCGCCGCAGGCGCCAAAGTTTTACAAATTATGCAACGAGCCCGCCGCAGGCGCCGATTTTTCGTTAAACCAATATGGGGAGGTCGCGGGTGGGTCGCGGGTATGTCGCGGGGTGGGTCGCGGGGTGGGTCGCGGGGTGGGTCGCGGGTGGGACGACGACAACAAGCAAGAACAACGCAACAAGCAGAACCCTCACCACAGATCCCCACTTCAGCCACGCACCCAGGGACAATGAATGACCGTTCGACCCCCTCACTCTGATGCTTGAGCGATGCCGAAGGATCCCGCAGCGAAGATCTAACTCTAGACCCACTTGTGTGATCGCATCGCTGGCGCTCGCTCAGCGCGGTCGACGCGGAAGCCGGGCTGCTGAAGCCTTGTTGATCTCGCGCACTGGGGAGAGAGGTGTCCTCACGCATACACGCGCCAACGAGTTTCTTCCATCTGCCTTCAGGGAAGGCGGGGGTGAATGATGGATGTCGCTGGCTCTTCATGGTGACCTGTGCACCAGCACCCTCCCCCGAGGCTGGGGAACATCCACCAGGGAGCGCATGTGGTAGGGGCACCAAAAGGTACCGATACTCCCATGACCTCTCCCGGGATGCGCTCCGACCTGGATTTCGTGATACCAGCCGTGGCGACGAGGGCCTCCCAGCGGCTTGACAAAGCGAGATCGACGGAAGAGTAGACGGCAGAGCAGCGTTGTCGCTTGCTTTTCCTCCACTGCCGTGGGCATATTTGGCATGGGGATAGCGGGTCCTGACCTGAAGGAAACGGGTCCTGGACCCTGGAGCCTTCCCCAAGGACGAGATCTTCATCCCGCGCCGTTTTCTGACAGCCACGGGGCCCGTGGGGGGCCCCGCGGGCCCGAGAACGGCGGGAAATCCTCGGGGCCCGTTTCCCTCAGGACCCGCTTCCCCCGTGGCGACTTGCGGGACCCTGCGTCGGGTTCGTGTCGTGACGACTTCGGCGCTGGTTTCTGACGCCGCGGGGATCGTTCAACCTGGAGCGATCGGCCGCTTCCGAGACGTCCAGGTCGCTCCACCTCGGACGATGAAGGGGAAGGGGGACGAGGAGGAGGAGGAGGAGGAGGAGGAGGAGGAGGAGGAGGAGGACGAGGAGGAGAAGGAGGAAGAGGAGGAGGAGGCGGAGGAGGAGGAGGAGGAGGAGGCGGAGGAGGAGGAGGAGGAGGAGGAGAGGAGGAGGAGGAGAGGAGGAGGAGGAGAGGAGGGCCGCCCGCGGCGCTCGACGCCGAGCGCCGCCGGCGGGGTCGCCGCCGGCCGACACGGCGCGGAGCCACCGTGCAGGGGCACGGCCGGCGGGAGGCGCCCCGCGGAGCAGGGCGGGGTGCCAGCAGTGCCCCACGGCGCGTGGGGCGCGCAGGGGGGGGGGGGGCCCGCGCGCCGCGCGGGGGGGGGTCCTCCTCCTCCTCCTCCTCCTCCTCCTCCTCCTCTCCTCCTCCTCCTCCTCCTCTCCTCTCCTCCTCCTCCTCCTCTCCTCCTCTCCTCCTCCTCCTCCCTCCTCCTCCTCCTCCTCCTCCGAGCGGGCCGCTGGGGGCACGTGCGGCCACGCCCGCCCGCGCCCGCTCTCGCCCAGGCTGGCCAAGACTGGCGCGCGGTGAGGGGGCAGTGGCCGAGGAGCCACAGGACATCTCTTTTTTGTTGGTTCCTCCAACGCGCGCGCGCGCCTACTGCTGCTCCGCCCAGGGAAAGCGGCCTCGACGCCTGCTTTCTATGCCGTGTGCTTCAGGCATGCCTGCATGTTGCAGTGCATACCGCGCTGAAGAGTGTGGAGCGCGCTCACAAGTGGGCTGCCAGGCATGCACAATTTGTCAAGCCTGGGCCGAAGCAACCAGGCCAGTAGCCGACTGTGCCTTTCGAAACGATATGGCACGCACTAAAGTGGCATGCGCTGTACCAAAAACGCCGGGGCCGAAACTCTGACGAGAAAAGAAACGAATCATCTCTGCCAGTGCCTTCCGACTAGTTGCAACTAATGGCCAATTCACGCGTTGCCAGTGGAGATGGGCCACGAGATTCAAATCACACCACTACAGCCTTGACACCTGGGCGGGAGACCACAAAAAATGTGATGCTTCGCGGCGCCATGCTCAGCTGAATGTCTGCAACACTGTTCCCGCGAAGCTTGTACTCAATGGCCTTGCCATCGAAGCCCTGCGAAATCATCGCCGAACCTGTGAGGCCACTATAATAGAGCGGCAAGGTGATGCTGGTCTCCAGCGAGCGTGGCGTAGGGTTGAAGATCATGGCCAAAGCGACCTCGCGATCCGCAAAAGGGTGCACATGAAGCCACCCGTCCCAGCCCTGCATGTCAGGTCGGCGAAGATGGACCACGGGCTTTGTGAGGACTGCCCGGTGTGCTTGATAGAACCCCATCCACTTCAGAAGCACGGCCTTGCTCTTGGGACCCTCGTAAAGCTGCTCTCCACGGTAGCATGCGGCAACGCCTGCACCCAGATACTGCGCCAGAGCCCACTCATACTCCGCCAGGTTGTCCTCCAGCGGCGAAAATGCTGCGGCAGACCCACCTCCGTGGTATTGCACAATGGGCAAGAACATCCAGCCCTGTGTTGGTGTGTGAATGTAGAGATCGTCGTACATGCCCTGACGGCTGATCATCAGGTCCTCCCAGCGGGGCAAAGAATACTGGTTCTCACTGTAACCCATGCCTGTCTTGCTGCCGCCGGCGAAGAAGAAATTGTCCGGCTGGTTGATATACACGTTCAGTGAGCGAAGGTATTTGTAGAACTCGGCCTGCTGCTGCGTCTGTCTGTAGACCGAATCGTCCAGACCGTGGTGGTGGCTGTGATTCTCAGAGGAACAGGTCCCTCCGCCGTAAGGGCCGTCCGTCTCCAGACTTGCCAAGCCAGTCTCGCTGATGAAGTTCAAGACAAGACCTTTGAGCTTGTCGACCCAGCCAGATGCGAAGCATGCGTCCTCCTTCAAGCTGCCATCGATATTTGTCGTGACCCACTCGTCGCCCACGTTCCCTCCGTAACCGCCATGCCCACGGTCCAGGCAGATGAGATCATAGCCGCCAACTTCGATGCCCTTGGAACGGGCGTAGTCTACCTGACCCTTGATCTTCTGCAGATACGATGGTTCCGCAGTTTCCAGAGTGAAGCCAGTTCCGAATGAGAAGATGATCATCTCGAAGCCGACCTCAGCCATCTGATCGATGGCGGTCTTGAAACCCTTCTCGCTAACGTCTGTTGCGTGGAAGAAGATCGGATTCTCGGTAGTGGCCGGCGCAAGCAACTCCGTTACCCGCGCCCGGCCGAGGGACTGTCGCTCAAGATCGAAGGAGTCATGGGCCAGAATCAATGCCCGAAAACTCTCGAACGCTTCCTCTCTGCCGACAAACGCGCCAGGCCCATTGTTGGTGTAGGTGCAGTTTAAAGTGGACTCCACTGCACCCTCGTCTTTGTAGCCCCCTGGCGAGCTGCTGCTCAAGAAATCGTCCATCCAGCTGCACGCAGCACCATGTGCCTGATCCGTCTTTGCATGGAGGAGCGTTGTTGCTGCCACGGTGCTTTCGTCAGGCGCCCCTCCCCAATCCTGGCCAGGCGCAAAACTGCCGTGCCCCAAGTGAGCTCCAAATGGTGCGTTCACGCCCAGCACCTCTACATCAATGTGCTTTACTTGCACTGGTTCCTTGCAAGCCTCGCAGGTGATGTATGCCCACTTCTTCAGTAGGGGGATCGAGTCGTAGAGCTCGTAGGAGAGGCGAACGCGCACGCCAATGTGCTTGCTTGGAGCCGACGAGGGAGGCACGAAGTCCACATCCAAGCGAACGCCCTTCGGAGGCCAGGAAGCCGTCGCATCGCTGTGTCGCGTGCCCGGAGTCCAAGGGTAGGGAGTCTCTGGAGAGGCCAAGCTGTGATTTGTGTACTGGAATGCTTTGGCATCCGACGTGAGATTCAGCATCTCTCTCTCCAGATATGCCAAGACTGTCTGCTCCTGCCCCAGACCGCCGATGGCATAAATCACTTCATCCAGCTGTACGTATGCCTCGGGCTTCACAGCCCGAATAATCTCTTTGGGGCCAGCAAAGTCGGCCGTGCTATTTAACACGAGGCTGACTGTACCAAAGGATGGGGACTTGACAAACTCGCGGGCCAGAAGTCCATTGCTCAATGTCAGCCTGTCGTCTGTTTCTTTCACACCAGCTTGCTCCTCGGTCTTGGCCACAAGCCAATCCACCGTGGCAGGTTGCAGCCCACAAGCCAAGGCAAGACAAGTCGCCGTCAAGAGGCGCTCCATCGGACACACGCTTCAATCTGTTCGACTGGCAAGCCCTGAGCCAACCCTTGAGCCATGGAACCACTGGATATTGGGACGCACAGGCACACATGAATACTGTAACTATGTCCACCTTGGAGGCGCGCGTCCGACCCGAACATCTTGTAGTATACCCATCTTGCAGCAGATCGCTTCCCGAGCGGTGTGGCCAGAAAACACATTGTTTTGTCGTCGGCGGCGAGGCGGATGCGATCCGTACCAGCGTCGGGCCAACCGGGGTCACCGATAGGCAAATTGTCCGGCGTGCAAGACCCTTGCACGCTGGGAGGGGGGGCGGCCGCTGGGGGAGGAGGGATATGGGACGCAAAGATACTGATACTACATGTCCTCATTGGAGGCGCGCGTCCGACCCGAGCATATAGTGTACCAGTATTGTACTACTTCGTTTCCCAAGCGGTGTGGCCAGAAAGCGAACGCCACGACGCATACACTATCAGACTTCGCGGTGCGCACGTCGCCCCTGGGGGTGGGGGGGGGGGCGACGTGCACACAGCAGTAGTACGCTGTGGTGACGCCGAGGATGAGGAACCCCAGGTCTGGGAAGCCGCTGAGGCCCCGATCGAGGCTTGGCCACGGGTATCACTTGAGCAGGGACCGACCGTCCTGGCATTCCTTAAGTCCTACCACGAAATGTTCTTAGAACCCAAAAATGTTCTAAGAACAAAAACAATGTTCTCAGAACATACACCGGATGCGATGAAACAAAACACTCCCAGCCAGAAATGTTCTAAGAACATTGCGTCTTAGAACATTTTTGGGTAGGGCTATAGGCACGCTGGGACGCTTCGCCACTGCTTGAATCACCGCAACCCTCCGCAGATGAGGAATCCTCCAGGGCACGTTCCCGAATCAGCGCCCCCACCGTCGGGAGCGGCAAAGAGGGGGTCGTCCAAGAGGGGGGGATGCAAATCATTACCGGCGGCATGTGCGCGGCCCGGGGGCCAGGGATGTAATGAAATAAGAAGAGGCGCTATAAAATCTGGGGAAATATCATGGCCCCCGCCATGATATCCACCCCCCTCTAGTCATCACCCCCCTCTTTTCCGCCCCCGACACCGCATCCGGCTGCGAGCAGCACGCCCTGCCTGGGCCTGCTCACGCCCTCGCGTCGGCGACTCCGAAGGGTGTGGTGAGGGCGCGGTTTTCGCAGCGCGCACCTGGGGAGGCGGGCGAGGACACCGACGGACATCTCCTTTCGAGCAACGTGATGGCCCCTGAGCCCCCCACGGCGCCACTCGCAAAGCACACCCCGTAGTCGCCGATGGAGGCGCCGGCTTGATACGGGCCGGCCGGCCGGCCGAGAGGCCTGGCTCGAGCAGGAGCCGAAAGCCAGCGATGTCGAACGAATGTGCGCCGTGCGATGGAGGCGGGCCCTAACGCCGGCGCAGGGGAGAGCCTGAAGCGTTCGGCAGCTACGGCAGGTTCGAGTCGTGCCGACTTCGGCGTTGGTTCCTGACGCCGCGGGGATCGTTCAAC